ATCGAATATTGCCCGACTGCCCAAAAAACTGGGGGGGCTGCCGCCCCCCCCGCCCCCCCGCCCGGTACGCCTATGGGGAAGGTTAAACAACCACAGCAAAGAACAAATAGTAAAATTAAAGAAAGAAAGATATAAGCCATGATCGGAAATATTATGAATTTTAGAAAGCAAAGCTGGTGTTGAGCTTTCAAAAGTAGGATTTTAAGTAAAGCCAGACGCTGTTGACCATAGCACCGCAAAGAAAAGAAAGCGTTCCTATGGCTGTTTTGGATTTTATCAATGCAGAAATACAAAATAAATGCTAATAAAAGCCGATACAAGGTTGCAAGCTTTTCATTCTATTCATTCTGTCCAAACACTTCACTGCTTAGTGTGTTCACATTGACAGAAAAAAGTCTCAAAATGCTTCGTAAACTGACTAAAGAGTCTAAAGTGTTAAAGTAGGCGGTTGTATATTTTCCGGTTCTATATTAAATCCAGATCTTAAAATTCGCGGGACGGGTTCCATCCCACATGACAGGATTCTCATCCCATGGCATGGGATTCGGGATTGTTAACTTTTCCGTGATCAGTACTGTAATTCTGTTAGTTCTCTGATTATAAAAACATTCTAGAACCAGTCTCCGAAATGTGCGCATTTTTTGAACCAATAATATACTACAGTACAGCCCGGCTGGCAGCCGAGCAATCGGAGACAAATTTTCTTGCTGGCAGCAGGCATCAAACACGCTAATCGAGTGAGCTGGACTTAGCATGGCTATTAGGCCAATGAAAATTGATATCATGTTTCTCGTCCCCGCCCGCATCCCACTTTATCTGCCGCACGAAAATTTTTCATTATTCATCATTATTGAAAAATAGGCTTAAAAACACCAAATTCATCTCCAGATCAAAGTCTTATTGCTGCATTCCGCAAGCGCAACTCAAATTGTATCTTTCTAAAGATATTACTCGCCAGAATGCCTCTATTTTTCATGTCAGCCCTGGTATGTGTAGAAATATACTGTAGTCTGTAGACTGTAGTGTAGGATGTATTAAATTAAAATGAATTATACACCAATTTTTAATACTTCAGATTTTTATGAGTTTTTTTACTGGGTCAAGGAAATTATTGACAAGCAGAATTCAAATACAAAATATAATGAAAAATGAAAAAATCCCGCTCCAAATTTTTGAAAATTGTGGACGAGAAACATGATTTCAATTTTCATTGGCCTTATTAAATAATTGGTGCCACTGCAATACAAATCTGACCTTTTTTCGCTCTGTGCCCCTCCAAATATAACCATGGTATTACCAATAACAGAAGCTGAATGGCCTGCCCGAGGACATGGATAGCTCTCGTCAGCCCTCATCCCTGTCCACTGTTTGTCAACAAAACTTAAAATTTGTACATCATTAAAAAATTTGCCATTGGACGGCATCAAAGATCTTGGCGGCTGACAACATCCACCGAAAAGAATTATAATGCAGCTGTTTTTAGTGCAATAACTGACTAATGTAGCACATTCTCTTGGTACTGGAGTAAATCCGCTTGTGGTAACTTTTGACCAATTCTGATCTGCCCAACAAAACACAAACAAATCATTGTAGACAGTATTTGATGATGAACATCCACCAAATATACAAAGCTTTCCCTTCAAAACACACGAAGCATGAGAAAATCTCGGAGCAGGATTCACACGTGAAGTATTAGTATATTTCCTCCAGTAAATTTTGCCATTTTTTACAGATTGCAAAAACGTTTCATATCGTTTATTGCGTATTCTGAGCAGAAGTCTATTCCATACAGTACAAACGAGTCTCCCTAGGTTTTGGTCAGACCTTAACCATAAATAACACAAGATTTTCTCCACAATTTCTTCAGGTAATCGCATAAACAAACAGGAATCGTCCTTAACACAAACAGATAAATTGACCGCCATATTGAATTTGAAAATTTGCGAATTCCTTCGCAAGAGTTCAGAAATTCCTTAATAGTTTTCCGAACATTCCGGAAGCGTATACGTCACCCATTGGTTCACCTTGGCTATAGAGCCTCGTTTTCGTGAATCCGAACGTACACGAAAACGAGGCTCTACGGCCAAGGAAAGTAAAGTTGTATTCCGGAAAGTACGTTCCATTTCTGTCAAATGTGAAGAATGATAACGTGAACTCGGATCATCTTGACAGAATTGAAATCTTCATGCGCAAATTCAGTGGCGTAGCGGAGGAACAGGAGGCCCTTAGACATATTTTGTGTGGGGC